CGAGCAGCATTACTTTAGCCTAATACTCAGAGATGATAATCACACACATAACCTAACATGTTCTCTTTTTATCCCAAACTAAAGCTGAGAATCCTAAGTAAAGCCTTTCTTTTTCTCTCCCAATAAGAAAGTTAGATTGAGGGTTTGTAGGGAGCAAATTAAACTCCTTCATATATAACCCTTTTTCAAGAGAAAAGTTTCAACTTTTTGTGGTCATGACAAAGATAGAGGACCTCAGGACCCTTAAAGGTATCAAATATATCTCATTCCTTCTCTTTTTCTTTTTTGAACCTTTGGATTTTGGATCAGGAGCGAAGTTAGCATAGAATTTGCGGGTTCGGTCTAATCCAGTAACTTTAGTCTAAACATTGTATTTGTCTTAAGAAATTCACTAAATATATATAAATTATTAATTTAGAATCCAGTAACATAAACAACTAGAATCTCGAACCCACAAGTTTCAAATCCTGACTCCGCCTTTGTTTTGGAGAGTAGAGAAAATGCTCGTGGGATTTATGACAAAGAGACTATATTTAGGGCATTGGGAATAAAAGATTTCAAAAGTTGTAATGATTTTTGCATTTTGTGCGGATATATAGCTAACGATGAGATCTTATGCTGAACACAAGACAACACTCACTACTCTCTCAACTGGTATATATTGGATCAATGTCCCCATTTCACGTCAATATTCTGCAAAAAAAGACTAAAGAAAAGCAATTCCAGCTTTTTTGTACTACCAACTAACCCCTGAAGTATATTTAGTTTGTCTTTCTACGAACATAAGCCATTTTATAGGATTGTTAATGTACATTTTTTCTAGTACATATAACCAATAAAGTGAAGAAATAAAAGGAGAATAGCTTTATCTTTTTGCAATAATATCACTTAACCACAGTATCATCTATCACAATATATAGGATTTATATATGAGGATATATGAAATTTTTAATTAAGTAAATAAAAGTGTGCTCTTGCTAACAACTAAATTTTTTAGATGAGATGACGTACTTCAACATGATATCAAAACATGTAGAGATGTTGTGTTAGAGTTTTACTATCACTATTATCAAAAAGAATTTTTAGTACACCTCTTGGCCATGGTCACACGCTAAAACATTCCTATATTTTATCGTACGTGTATAATTCTTTTTTGTGACTAAAAAAAGACTCATTATAAGCTCATTTAGATGAGATCGATGATCATACACTTAAAGTACCTACATCTTATAGGCCAGATTTTGCATAAAAATTGAGTTTGCGAGACTAATATTCATTTCTAGGCTCTATGATCTATTGAACCATTATATGGCAAAATGCTGATTTGTGAGATCAAAAGACAAAAATGCACCTTTCCTTATCAAGTCTTGTTTACGTTAAACTCCATAAATTCTTCAAATCTTATTAGTAAGACACCATCCTAACTATGTAGCTAAACAATATCCTTAACTCAACAATCAGAATTTTTATTTTTAAAAAAAAGATGGTGTAGTTCCTAATTCCTATCCAACAAAAAGTTGTGCTTACTTCTTTAACCAAAGGAGATATGACCCTCAAAAGTTGGCTTTCCAACTCAGGAATTTGATCTTTGGATACCAAAATGTCATGCAAAGAAGAAAAGTGAAGATTATATATATAGTACATGACAATAAGGAGGGAGCGTCTTGCGCATAACATATATATATATGCATCTTCTTTGCACTTTGGTCATAGAGATAGTGCTTTACTGGACCTCCATTTCTCCTGTTTTTTCTAAAGAGTGGAGACAAAAGCAGTCCGCTCTTCAATCATATAAAAAATTCTACATTTAATTTCCACCATTTATTCTTTTTGTTGAATCATTTTATAAACCCCACTCTAGTTAACAACAAGAAAATATCTCATAGCTTAGAAAATGACACATCAAGAGACATATTTTTTAAATAAATTATCATTAATTACTAACTCGTGGCAACAAATACGAACTTAGTGTGTCCGTACCCCTCTCTCTCTCTCTCTCTCTCTCTCT